AGTCCCCCAGCTCCGGCTCGGACGGCGCGGACAGTCCTGCGGCGTCCGCGGCGCGTGGCTGCAGCGCCCTACCCGGCCCTGCCCAGCAGTTGGTGCAGCTAGATCTACAGACCTTCCGCGACTACGGTCAGAGCTGCTACGCCTTCTGCAAGGCGCGGGAGAGCCACTTCCACCCGCGGGAGTCGCTGGCGCGGCAGCCACAAGTGAGGCGCTGGTAGAGCCAGCTCCCCACCGCCGCTCTTCTTCCTCTCCCGGGCTCTCTCCTTTTCTGCTCTGTCTGCCCTCTGCGGCGCCCCGGCCCGCGCGGGAAGGGGCTTTGGAGGGCTGGGCCACCGGCCTCATTTTACAGATGGAGAGAAGTGGGGCCTAGACGGCTTAAGTGACCTGCCCGAAGTCTCCAAACTCGTTAGTGGGGACACAGTAGAATGCAAAGGAGTTAAGACAGTTTCTAGGTTCGAGTCCGGACTCCTACGGAACCCGGGCAAGTTATTTAATAATCCTGAGATTGTTTCTTCATCTGCAAAGTGGGGATCCCCTCCCCCTCCCGAATTGCTGAGAGGATTACACGAGGTAATGTGTACACGCGCTCAGCACAGGGCCAGCCACCAATCCAGGCGTCCCGGCTCCTAGCCCAGCCCGTGCTCTTTCCGCAGCAGCGCTGCCCGAGTGTTTCCTAGTTTCCAGCGTATTTAGCTCTTTCCTTTCTTCCTGCCTCCCTCCGAGGAAGCTCCCTGGGTCTTCTTGGCCTGTCCCTTCCGCAGCCCTTCTCCGCCCTAGGCTCAGCCGGCCCGCCTCCCTCCTCCTGGCAGGTAACGGCGGAATCCCGCTGTAAACTGCTCAGCTGGCTGATCCCCGTGCACCGCCAGTTCGGCCTCTCCTTCGAGTCGCTGTGCCTGACGGTAAACACTCTGGATCGCTTCCTTACCACCACGCCTGTGGCTGCAGACTGCTTCCAGCTGCTCGGGGTCACGTCCCTGCTCATCGCTTGCAAGCAGGTACCTCCACGCGGGGTCGGGGGTGGGGGCAGCCAAACTCCCAGCCACTCTCTGTCTGGCTGTCCAGGGCACACGATCACATGACTTAGTGCTGGATTCCCTGAAGTCGTTTAGGTGGACGTTTGCAAATTTACACATCCCACCGTCTTAACTTCACAGTTCCTCCACAAACTAATAATCCTTTCATCCCGCACCCAAAGAAATAGGCTGAAGTCGGCCCCAAAGTAAGTCCCAACAGCCCTTTGCAGCCCTGCTATTCCAATCTCCGGGAAAAAAACCCTTCAGAATTTCTCAAAGTTTTTTTTTAGCTGGGCAGTAGTTAGAGAAACTGCTCTGGAAGTACACTCCAGGTGATTAAAGAGGAAGTAATGGAGAGGCGAAGCCCCAGCTGTCTCGTTGGAAGGGATTGGGGGGGAGTAAGTGGGGGTAAGAATTCCTGGTTTCTCCCGGGTTTAAGACTGGGGCGGGCCTCCGACTCGGGATGCACGGCTCAGAGGGGCCTGAGCGCCCCTGTGTTGCAGGTGGAGGTGCACCCGCCGCGGGTGAAGCAGCTCCTGGCCCTGTGCTGCGGCGCCTTCTCCCGGCAGCAGCTCTGCAACCTCGAGTGCATCGTGCTGCACAAGCTGCACTTCAGCCTGGGCGCGCCAACCATCAGCTTCTTCCTGGAGCATTTCACACATGCCCGCGTGGAGGCCGGGCAGGCCGAGGTCTCTGAAGCTCTGGAGGCGCAAGCCCTGGCTCGTGGGGTGGCGGAGCTGAGCCTGGCCGACTATGCCTTCACTAGGTACACCCCCTCCCTGCTGGCCATCTGTTGTCTGGCGCTGGCTGACCGTATGCTGCAGCTCCCGCGCCCGGTGAACTTGCGCCTGGGCGGGCACCCTGAGGCGGCGCTGCAGGACTGCCTGAGCAAGCTGCAGCTACTGGTGGCCATAAACGGAACCTCCCTGGCTCACATGCTGCCCCTCCAGATCTGCGAGAAGTGCAGCCTATCCCCGAGCTTGAAATAAAGTAGACTCTTGGTCTCCTTTTATCCCCTGCTGGCCCTGTTGCTGGACTGCTCCCATTGCTTTGAAAGTGCAGTATTGGCCCACAGAGAGGTGTTCAGGGCTCCCACCTGGTCACCAGGTCATCATGCATGTTGTATATAGTGTACGATAGTAGCGTCTGGTCGTTTATTTATTTTGCTGGAAAGCACACGAGAGAGCTGAGTCTTTCTCCAATAAACAGGCTATCTGTCCTGGTTTGTCTGCGTGCTGCTGTTCCGCGTTCCTCCCCAGAGAGGGAAGGTGAAGGCAACCCTGGGAACAGTCAGGTAGTAATGAGCAGGGGTCCTCTCTCCCTCCAGGTCTGTAGTTGGCATCTCTGTGGGAACACCAGGTCCCCGGAGATTTCAATTACAAGATGAGTCAGGGGCACTTGTAGACCTGTATCCCATGGCCCTCTTGTCAGGAGGCTGAGGACTGCTCACTTCCAAAGGTCCAAGGGGCACAGTATGAGGCCTAATAGAACCCACAGCACTCCATGTTGTCTAGAGGAGTCAGGGAGCACATATGGATGTGGATGATGGCCAGCTGGGAAGCTTTGGGAAGCACACACTAACTAGAAGGAAGCAAGAACTACTACAACAGCTAACAGATGCTGGCAGCGAAGGCTTTGCAGGCAGTTATGGCCATTACAAGTGGAGTCAATTTACCCTGCAATCACACTGTTCAATGTTTCATGCAAGTCTTAACACCTGCTACATGTGAGTCCGGGGTAACAATGGTATAATAGTAATCATGGCTATCATTGAGTGCTTACAAGTACCAGGCACTGTGTTCAATATTCATTACTTCAATCCCCCAACAATTATATGAAGCAGAGTCTATTTTCCCATTCTCCAGAGAAGGACACTGGACCACAGAGAGGTTAAACAACAGTGGAGCAGCCAGGATTTGAAGGCAGGTGATCAGAATCCAGAGTGCCACCCTTAGCCACACTGTTCAACTTCCCGCACTTACAGGTTTCTGGAAATGCTCAAAAACCCCTCTTCCTGAGGTATGTATGGGACAAATCTACTCAGTGCCATCCATTCAATAGGGACTACAGAGAACATATCTGGAGAGCCAGCACGGTCCCCCCCTCCAGTCATGTTGAAGTCATTTTACAAGATGGGAAAACTAAGAAATGAGATAGGCTTGCTGGAGCTGTGACTCCACAGCCGTCTCATCATCTTCATTCTCACTGTGGTGAATCTGCTGTAGGTCCTGGATCTCAGCTTTGTCACCTCCAGCAAGTTTCTTAAACTCTCTGAGCCCAACAATTGATACCAGGGCTGTTGTGAAGCCCGAATGAGAGTGTGAGGTGTAGTATCAAGCAGTGATTAAACAAGTAGGCTCTGGAGTCAATTGGCTGAGTGACCTTAAGCAAGTGTTATTTCTATGCCTAAATCTCTTCTGTAAAAATGGTAGAACAGTAGCACTTGTTTGGTAGGGCTGAGGTATGGATTTAATGAGATGTTCCACACAAATCGTCCAGCACAGGTCCCGGCACATAGCACATTTTCAAGAGATGAAGGCTGGCGGCAGCCTGCACAATGATGGGGGGTGGGTACACAGAAAAAAACTTGGGGAAGGAAATAGAAATAAAGCAGATATAGGAAAATGTTAACACTTGGAGGTGAACATACTGTTGTTCATTGTACTGTTTTTTTTTCAAATTTTCTGTACGGTTGAAAAAAGTTTTTGGGGAAAAAAGTCATGTTCTCTAACTCTATTTAGGATAAATCCAAATGTATGACAAATTCTCACAAATAAAAAGCAAACAAACTCAAAGCAAATTTAAAGAATCTTCCCTGCACTTTTCTTCACGTACATGGTCCAAGTACTCTCCAGTGCCAGGAGCACCTAACCCTGGGCTCCTGATATGTTGATATGCCAAGCGCTCCAGGAACTTTCTCCTCCTCGGCTCAGGTAGAGGGAAGTGATGATCCCCAAGCTATTTGAGAAGAAGCTGGTCTGCAATGGTGAAGAGGAGCAGGAGAAAAGTCATATCTGTCCCAAGTCCCAATACATCTGGAGCCCTCAGACTGGCTGTTGGGGGTGGAGGGCAGCAGCGACTTGCCCTTCTGCAAAAAGAGGGACTTTGGGAGGAATTGTCTTCACCACCATTTACCCCATCACTCAGCCAAGGTCGATATGGGTGCTATGGTTCTAGAGTCATCCAGACTAGGAGTCACATAATCATGCTATTCCAGCTCCTGTTGCCACAGATAATCTATTGTACATTTTTACGTACAATGCCTATACTTTTCTACCCCAATTTGGAACTCATTGATGAAAAATGGGCCTGTTCGGGAAAATCGGTGATGGTCTCCATGGGTAGAGATCTCCCCAAAAACTCAGCTAAGAGCTCCCCTACTCCTTTGACAGACTGCAAAATCGGTAAAGATGGGTGTGGAGGACCAGGGCTCTAGGCCAGTGGCTAGCCTACTTAAGAATCAGAGGAAGCAGGAGACAGAGCCAGGAAGAGGCTGTGGGAGGCTGGAGGTGCAGCTGAAAAGGCTCCTTAAAACAACAACAACAACAACAACATTAATTTATCCACACCAAGCACCAGTCACATTACATAAATAATCTCATCTTTACAGCAACTCTATTGAAGTCATGTTATGTTTTTCCTAAAGAACTAGGGCTCACTGATCTGGTTCAGATCCTCAGGCACTCTGATGGAAAAGCCAGAGCTCCTCACCATCAGCGATACCACACCAACTCTAGCTGGCTGCCCTGTCGGCAACTGGGTTCCGGCATCTACAGATGGGTCAGAGAGTCTCTAAGTCTATCCTAGCTCTACCATTGAGTTACTCTCCATCGCTGTTAGGGGTATCTTGTTTATTAACCCAGATAATAGGTGTGAATAAAAGAGGATCATGACACTTTAAAGAGGATCTTTCACTACTACTACTAGGTATAAGGAACAAACAATGTGCCCAACAGGAGGTCACAAAGATTCCAATTTCAGATGATTGTTCAGATTGGATGGATATAAGAGTAGTCTTGAGAGGGGGCCCCCTTACTCAAGGGTCTGGAGATGCCCCTTCCTGGGAGAGGCTTCGGGCTTGGGAAGGGCAGCCAAGACTGCGGCAGAGCAAGTGAGGCCGGCTGTACAAATGCTGCAGTGGGCAGCTGAGGGCTCCAGGGGAGACAGAGACCTGGGTTTTAGAGGATTTGGGACTGTCCATTTGTGGCATTTTCAGAAACTGGAGGAGAGTTGGTAGAGGTCACGTTTTCTTTCTTAATTGACCCTCTTTTAAAGGCTATGCTTACGCGCTGCTGCCCGGGAAAGTGCGGGACTAGGGGTTAAGGGCGGGTCTCTTAGCATCAGGCCAAAGGGACCAAGTGGAAGTCGGGGAGTCAAGACCAAGGGTGCACCCCAGCACTGGGGGAAGGGGCTTCTGTAATCTAGGGGCTGTTCTGGGAATTCCTTGCTGGAATTCTACATCCCCACCAAATCCTACAGGACAGGGAAAATGCGGGAGTCTGGCTTTGGCGAGCGTCTCTCCACGTTTATTTCGTGGCTTGTGGCTGGATTGGAAGAAAATAAGAATCGTTAACTTTTCCATCCCCACTGTCCATAAACGGGAAGGCGGCACGCAGTGTTAGGGACCGGTAGGGCTCGTCCGCCCCTCCTTCACTCCCTTCCTCTGGCGCGGCCTGGAGGCGGGGGCGCCAACCCTCGCCAAAAGGGCGCTCGCGGGCCGGGGCCCCGCGCTCGCGGTTCCCGGGGGAAGCCGCGTTGCCAGGTTGGGTTTAACGCCTCCGCCCGAGCGCAGATTGTCCGGGGCTGAAGGCGCCACCTCTGGCGCTCAGGCGCGAGCCGCCCCTCCCGCGCAGCGGTCTTCCCTCTCCACTTGGCCCTCCTTCCGCACTTCCACAGCCGTCCCTTAGCTCCACCCCGGCCACGCGCCTTCCCCGACCTCCGGCCGGCTTCTGAGCCTGCAGGCTCCGGGCAGAGCGCAGGGTGTGGGTCGCTATCGCAGCCTGGCCTCCGACTCCGAGTAGTCGGCGTGGGGAGACAGGATGCAGGCAGGCGGGGGCGCCGCGACGGGACGCCGGGCCTTCGATAGCATCTGTCCCAACAGGATGCTGGAGCTGCGGGGCCGGCCCTTCGGCAAACCTGAGAAGCTAGAGAGGAAGGTGGGGCCGTGGGCCGAGGCCGGAGCCGGGTGGGGTCCGCACGCTCCTGGCCCCGAGGGCTGACCCGCGCTCACCGTTTCTGTGCCCGGCTAGTTCGCCTCTCCGCGGAAGTTCTTTCCTGGCTGCAGCGGCGGCAGCACGGTGTTGGTGTATGAGGATCCCCGCGACGCGGAGCCCGCTGCGCTGCCAGGTGAGCGCGATGGTCCCCGCGAGACCCCTGGGGTTCCCCGCGGCGCGTGGGGGGGGGGGGGGGAGGCGCGCGGCTGCCCTGGCTCTGACATCCTGGCGGGGATGCTAGCGGCGAGCCCTTGCGGGGAGGCTCAGGCTTTGAGGGGCGCGTATCTCCGGTTCTTCCTGCGCAGCCCTCACCACCATAGACCTGCAGGACCTCGCCGACTGCTCCTCGCTGCTCGGGTCCGACGCGCCGCCTGGTGGTGACTCGGCCACCTCGCAGGTACCTCCCCTTCCTCGTGGAGCCTCGCGACCTCCGGTAGCCCAAACTCCAACTCCGGAGTCATGGTTTCTTTTCCGCAAGGGCTCGTCTCGGGTGGGGAGCGCAAGCACGTCTGGATACTGAGGGGAGACATCGTGCCGGAATCTGAGCCTCCAGGATCAGAACTTCTTCTTCCCTCCTAGTATGTTACGAAGGCCTCATTCCCAGAGCTGTTCTGGCCTACTCAGGACAGGGGGATTCACCTGGAGGGCTACCCTGCCAGATGGGTCTCCCCATCCCCTCCCCAACTATACCCTGGAGCTGCGACAAAGCAACGTGGAGATTGCGCACTGTGGGAACGGGCGGGTAGGTGGGTGCAAAGTTGCGCGCTGGGTACCTAATACGTGTCCTGTCTGTGCGCCCAACATCCCCTTCCTGGCCTTTCACTAACAGCTCTCATTCCCTGGTATCTAAGGAATGTGGAGATAGGAGGATAATTTTTCTATCAAGACTGTAAAAGAAGAGTTTACGTTTAGGGGGATGCCGAAAGAGGGACAAAGGATTCTGGAAGAAATCTGACAGAAAACGTTTCTCTTTTTAGGGATGGTCCTTCAGCAGTTGGGCACTTTTAAAACATCCTTTTCTTCCTCTTCAAAGCCTCCTGTCATTTACTTTTACGGGGCAAAGAGGCTTTTGACTTTTTTATTTTCAGAAAAAACCTACCTTCTTGATTCCACCCCACTTCTACCACTTGCCAGAGCTGATACTCCTCAGCAGAGGATGGAGCCTCCAGCACTGGTGTCTGGGAGGCCAGAAGCCTGGCTCATCCGTGGGATATGAAGTGCCCAGAGGACAGGAGGTCTTAGCCAGATGCAGCCTACAGGAAGACTGCCAGTTTCTTTGCAGCAGATGCTGGGGACATGAGGTCCCTGGGGACAGGCCCAGCACAGAACTCTTCTGAAGATACGACCACCTCCCAGAATTGGGGTTGGTGATGGAGCAAGGCTTCCCAGACCTCCTCTAAGGGCCTCTTAGAATTGGGATAGAGTGTAGCTGGACACTGACAGCAAAGATGGTTAGGTCAAAAAGTGAGAGTGGGCATTGCCCTGCAGAGGCCATTCTATTCTTTTTAGGTCTGGATGTTCAAACAGGGGAAAGACAGTGCCTGAGCATCTTTCAGTTGACCCAGAGGCCTACATCACTCCCTTACTCCAACATGTTTGTTTTGCAAGTAGCAAAAATCAAGCAGGCTCTTGCTGAATTTTGCTTAAGTATGCAGAACTTAAACTGGACATCAGGTTCTGTGTTAGTCTTATTTTCTTTTTTGGCTACTGTTATAGTTGAAGAAATGCCAGATATGGATCTAACTGGGAAGGTAGGATTCAAAGTTTCCAGGACAGAGCTCACACCAGATAGCCCAAGAGGTCCAGGGTGTTTCCTGGGGAAGATGGTTGGTGCAGAGGGAGAGGGACCCTTGGGGGAAAATGCCCTGGAAAGACCCCTGGCCAGTGCACACTCAGATAACATTTCCCAGCCTTCTTCCTGCTGGGGAAGGTGAACAGAGAGAGGAATGCTCGAGAAGTGTTTGAGGTCCAGAACGGGCCAAGACCTGGGGTAGCATAGGAGGAAACATCTCCTGGGCCCCAGTTCCTGAACTGGCCTCCAGTCTCCTCATGGTAAGGGCGTTTCTTCAATCTCTACTGAGAGGGAAACTTTTCAGCCCTTGGGAAATGAGTTCGTTTCTGACTCCTTTAACCAGGGCAGAACTTTTGCTTCAGGATTTATCTGGGCCTTTCAGTCCTTTCTTTCTAAGCTCCTTTCCCCTTATAGCCTCAGTTTCCAACTGATGCTAGAGGCCTCCCTGATTGCAACTCTCCCCCCTGAGGAGAACTGATGCTTGTCCAGTCTTTGAAGTTAGGGTCAGAATAAGTTCCTCTCCTCAGAAATATTTGAATAGTAAAGAAGGGCTTTTGGGAGAAGAGTATGATTAACACTAAGGAATAAATCAATAATAGTGGAATCAGTAGACTAGATATGGGTTTATTTGATCCATCCCTCACACCATGCCCCTGGAGAGACTTCTTTCCCCTTCCCAGTGCTCTCTTCGTTGGAAGCCAGGCTTTCCTAAAAGAGAGAGAAAAGCTAGAGGCAATGAGGTATAGAGGAAAGAGAACTGAAATAGGCACCAGCATTCTGGGGCAGGAGCCGCAATTCCACCATTTCAGAGCTAGGTAAACTCTGGGCAACCCAATTTCTCTGAGCTTCAGATTCTCCATCAGAGGAGGAGTCACCTCCTGGGCCCTGCCTGCTTTCCACATTGCTGCGAGAATTGACAGAAAAGACTCTACCTAAAAGAGTTTTGGCAACTCTAAATGGCCATGAATTAAGGGAATAAGAAGGTTCTTGGACCGCCAGCCCTTTACTGTCTCCTTCCGCCGCAGGCACCCAGGCACGTTGCGGGAACCCGGGAGAGTGTCCAGTGCGAGATGCTGGAGGCGCGTCACACTGTACAGGAAAAGTCAACTCCGACTTTTTTAAGAAAAGGAAGAGCAATAGGGGCCACGCCTGCGTGATGAACACAGGCACTTTCCATAGCATCCCTGGCCTCTCATCATAGCCTACCTTTTCCCTTCCTTTATGGGGAGGGGGTGGTTTAGTTGTGACTGAGCCTTGGCGGGATATATGGCCTCGAATTACTGCTTTGGATGACTTTGCACGCTGTAGGATCTTGGGAAGAAAAAGAGTGTTCGCACGCCCAGCTTCCTACTCTTAGAGTGGTGGCTCCTAGGCCAGTCGGAGGTAAGTCGGCGCCGAGGTCCAGCGGGCGCACGAGGACCGCGCCGGGCCGCACGGAGGCAGCTGGTTGGCTGGTGGCTGGCCAATGAGGCGGCTCAGGGGCTGTGCCTGCTGTCCGAGGCTGGGCGTGGGGCCGCTGCGCTGCGCGCGGAAGGCCAGACGCCGGCCACAGGCGCGCAGTTTCGGAGTGCTGCTGGGCCCTCGCGGAGCCTGTCCCCGCTTTGTGCGTCCCGCTCCCCACCATGGCAGTGCAAGCCATGTGTCTTCCGTGTCTCGGATGGGGTTTTGACTTTCAGGTATGAAGTTCGGGTGCGAACAGCGAGTGCGTGCAGGCCCGCCCCGGAACCCGGGGAGGACAACTGTCGATCTAGGAAGTGTTGCAGGCCTGCCAGACTCGACGGTAACTAGATTACGCCTCTGGTTTATTTCAGAACCATTCCCTGCAAACCCCAGCGGACTTCGACCTGCAAGATTTCAGAGACACCGTGGACGATCTCATTGCAGGCAAGGCCAGTCTCCTTGCAGTTTAATAACTGCGGGGTTGTCCCCTACCCCCCAAATCAGACTAGTGCAGATTTCGTGGTCGTGAAGGTGGTAAACCCAGCAATTTATCAAAGGGTCAGATTCTTCCATGTTTAGGAGACCCCCACCCTTCCTAATGGAGATGAATTACTGGATCTATATGGCTCTCTCAGTTGGTCAGTATGAGTTCTGGGGGAGGGAAGCCTGCGCTGTGATGTGGTCGGGGAGAGGCTGAGCGATAGGAGTGTGCAGAGCAGCGGGCGTGTGTGACTTCGGGCAGTTTGCCCTGGCCACCGTGGAGATTCAGTTCAGATCACCTCAACAGGCATATATTGAGCGACTGCTGTGTTCGTACAGGATATTAAGAAGGGCTTGGGAATTGTAGGGTTTGCAGAGTGAGGGGTGCTTTACTTAATAAAGAAAAGTCTCCACATAAACCCTACGCCCAGCGTGGCATTGTCCCTGTAGCTAGCTGGGCATGAGTCTGAGGCTGTAAACCCAACTCCCGCTCTTCCTCAGACTCATCCTCTTTGATGTCGCCTCCCCTGGCCGGCGGAAACTTCCCCTTCTCTCCTTGCGATGTATTGCCCTTCGGGTCCTGTCTCTCCCCGCCGCTGGACCCACGGGCCCTGCAGTCACCGCCGCTTCGTCCTCCGGACGTGCCTCCGCCAGAGCAGTACTGGAAGGAGGTGGCCGACCAGAACCAGAGGGCGTTGGGGGACGCGCTCGTTGAGAATAACCAAGTAGGGACCCTGGGCTGGCGGCCAGGACTCCTGGGGCGGAGACAGGGTGGAAGCGGGGGTTACAGGAGCGGGAACGTGCCCTTGTGGACCTCAGAACCAGTGGGCCGAGTGGTTCCTGTAGCTGCTGTTGCTCCAGCGGCTCTACCTCAGTTTCCAACTTCACTAAGTGGGAAGGATCCTACCCCCCCTTAGATTTTTAATAGGGCTACGAATCTTTATTGAAAATTTTCTATTTGCCTGGTATTGTGCTTACCAATTTACTTTCTCTTCTCATTTAATACAACCACTGAGATAGAGATACTCTTACTAGCTCCATTTTTTTTTTTTTTTTTTTTTTTTTTTTGCGGATAAAGAAACTGAGGTGTAGGAAAGTTGAACTTCAGAGGCAGAATCTAGATCTGCCTGTTGCCCAAGTCAGTACTCTTCACCACCATGCTACACTGAGGTTTAATTGAGAAACATTTGTCTAAGTGCTTGGTAAAAAGAAAAGAAAAGAAAATTGACTATTATTCTCAGCAGTGTGAATGCCCTCGGGTCCCCTGTTCCTGATTAGACATTAGGATCTGGGTTTAATTCATGCAGAGTATGCAGACGAGACCGAGCACGGTGGCCTATCTCTGAATGTTTGGGTTTCCTCCTGTAGCTGCACGTGACGCTGACCCAGAAACAGGAGGAGATCGCCTCGCTCAAGGAGCGGAACGTGCAACTGAGGGAACTCGCCAGTCGCACCCGGCACCTGGCCTCAGTGCTGGATGTAAGTGGGGCGCGGCCACGTGGGACACTGCACAAAGTCGGAAGTATTCCTGTGCACCCCCTACCCTGCTCCCAGTGTTGGGACCCGGCAGGGGTCAGGGAACGGAGAGGACCGCTGGGAGCTCGCTGAGCCACTTGCCGGGGGCGCCTCAGTCCTCCCAGTCGCCCAGGTCCGCTTCGCACGCTCCGCACAAGGCGAGTCCAGCTGGCCCCAGGGCGGCGCTCCTCCCCATCTTTTGTAGAAACTGATGATCACGCAATCCCGGGATTGCGGGGCGGCAGCAGAGCCCTTCCTGCTCAAGGCGACCGCCAAAAGGAGCCTGGAGGAGTTGTTCAGCGCTGCGGGGCAGGATTGCACGGAAGTGGACGCCATCCTGAGGGAGATTTCCGAGCGCTGCGATGAAGCGCTGCAGAGCCGCGATCCCAAGCGGCTTCGGCTGCAGCCGGAGCCCGGGAGCACGGACGGCAGGCCCGGGAACCTGCACGGCGCCTTCCGGGGGCTGCGCACAGACTGCAGCCGGAGCGCGCTGAACCTGAGCCACAGTGAGCTGGAGGAGGGCGCCTCCTTCAGCACCCCCATCCGCAGCCATAGCACCATCCGCACCCTCGCTTTCCCTCAGGGCAATGCCTTTACCATCCGGACAGCCAACGGGGGTTACAAATTCCGCTGGGTCCCCAGTTGAGCTGGGCTCCAAAACACTCCCCTGTATCCTGACTGAAGCGCCTGGAAGCCAAGCGGGAGTAGCTGGTATTGTTTCCTGAACTTGGCTTCTCAGAACTCCCCCTGCAGGGGGGATGCCACCCTGAAACTTACTTTTTTCAGGAACAGAAATGTCTTGACACTGATGCACTGTAAAGTTCTGGTACGAAATGTTGAATAGTCCCTCCCCTTTTCACAGCAAAACAGTGCGCGCGCGCGCGTGTGTCTGTGTGTGTGTGTTTGTGTATGTCTATGTATACTTATACACACACATATATCACAGTCAATTTTAAAAGTATTTATTTTGAATTATGTACTTTTAAGAGCTGGAAGGGACTTACAAACCACTTGTCTATTTTATAGTTATATAATGCCCTACTTTTATAAAAAGGAAAAGGCGGCTCTAAGAGGTTAAGTAATTTCCTACAATTAGCATTATTGGAACCTTCCAATGGCTCTCACTAGACATTTAAGGGTTGTAGGCCCAGAAGCCAGGTCTCTGGGTGAACACATCACTCACCTTCCCCTGGTCCTGGGAGGACATTTAATTTTGTTACTATTGAAAACTTTAATTCTAGCTGCCAGAAAAAAAAAATTAGGAGAAGCAGCTTAAACACTTGCCTTAGGGCAGGCCATAAACTAAAGAAAAATGCAAATTCTCCGAGGCAATGGGCAATCGACTGAACAGGTGCTAAACGTGTTTGTTTGTAATGATTATTCATACAATTTGGTAAGGTTTGTGGTAAATGTTTATATAAATTATAATACAGTTTTATTTGTCTAAACAGAATAACCACGCAAAAAGCAAACTTTGTTAATAAGAAACAGTTGTTTTAAGAAAATGGGATATCTCACATGAGAAAGAGCCTTCATAATTTTTTTGCCAGAAACCAAATGTGGAAATCTTGGTAAAAGTAAAATTACCTATTTGAATTCCGTGGATAAAACTGGGGTGCACATTCATGTTTTATATTTCTTGGCTTGATCTTCTAAGAAACCCTTACGTGTTATATAGTGCCTTCACTTCAACTTTTCTTCTGTTCCCTTCTGTCTGGGGTTCCTTTTTCTACTCTTTTGTGAAATTGTGTGAGTAGCATGTAGTAGTGATTTGTCTGGATCTCCACAGTTCTCAACATGAGGGCTGCTCCTTGCATTTGGGGGCTCAGCTTGGGCAGGTTTCCAGCCTGTTACACCCCATTGCTGGTTCTGCCGTCTGAGTGGAGATATCAGGTAACAGCAGAGCTGAGCAGGGTGGCAGAACCTGCTCCTCCAGTTTGTCATGTGTACTGTTATCTGTATTTAAATAGCCATTTAGAAACCAAAAACAGCGATAAAATAGACCACATTTCCTCATATTATGTCTAACAAATGGACTAAAAAAATCCACTGGACGGTCCAGATTTTTTTTTTTTTACCAGGTCAAGTATAGTTACTGCAGTTCAGGATCAGAAAAAACAAACAAACAAAAAGAACAAAACAAAAATCTTTAACTTGTCCCGAGAAACAACCCTCTTGTCAAAAGTTCTTTTCCTCTTCACTCCTCAATTGGTATTTTCAGAATGCGTTAGCTTCAGTGACCAAAAGGTAAAAAAATTATGTGTTTTCTTCTATTTGTCTTATGCCTGGACTTTTAAAAAGTTGCAGTTCTTACTGCCTTTAAGATTATAGACCTATAATTATCTTGTTAGCCATTGGCAACTCTAACTGCTTAAGTATCTTCCATTTCTGGGAGAAAAAAGCTCTCCTGTGAACTAATGGCACAAAGTACCAACTTTGCATTGGTTAGCAGTAGATGAGTTAAAAAATTAAATTCATTCATTCATTCAGCAGATATTTATTGAATGTTATTGAGAAACTCAGTAATACAGATACTAAGAAAACAGCGAAGGCACAAAACACAAAGACTCTGCCCTCATAGATCTTACTTTCGCCTGGGAAGAGATAAATGCTTAACACATAAATATATAAGTACTATGAAGAAAACGAAGAAGAGTAAGAATAGTGTCTTATTCAGCTTGGGCAGCTATAACAAACACCACAGACTGGTGGATTAAACAAGGCTTTTTTTTCTCATAGTTCTGGACACTGGGATGTCCAAGTTCAGGTGCCAGCACGGTCAGTTGTGATGAGGACTATCTTCCTGGTTTGCAGATGGCCGCCTTCTTGCTGTATCCTCACTTGGCAGAGAGAGAGAGAGGGCTCTGTCCTCTTCTTATCAGGTCACTGATTCCATCCTGAGGGCTCTGCTCTCATGACCTCATGTAAACCTAATTACGTCCCAAAGGCCCCAGTTCCAAATACCATCACACTGGGGGCTGTGGTGTGGCTTCAGCATATGGATTTGAGGTGGGGGCGGTGCACGAACATTCAATCCTTAGCAGATGGAGAATATCAGGAGCAGCTGATGCTAAGATAGGGCAGTCTGGTCAGGGAAGACCTTTCTGATAAAGTGACATTTGAGAAGAGACCTAAAGAAGTGAGGGAATAAACCTGATGGATATCTGAGGGAAAGGCATTCCAGGCAGAAGGAACCAGAAGTGCAAATTTCTATTTTTGTGTGTGTGTGGGGTGGTGTGCCTGACTGAGAACAGCAAGTAGGCTAGTGTGGCTACAGCTGAGTGAATAAGGGGGAAAATGGGGACATTGAGTAGAAGGAGATAGCCCCTCGAGGCCTTGTCGAGGACTTTGGCTTTATTCTGAGTGAGATGGGAAGCCATTGGAGATTTTCAGCTGAGGGATCACATACTTAAATTTTCAGTGGAGTATTCTTGTTTCTTTGGGAGAATTGTAGTAGAGTGGGCATGGGGAAGCAAGGGTGGAAGCAGAGAAACTCACTTGAAGACTACTGGAATAATCTAGGTGAGGGATAATTGTAATTTATACCAAGGTGGCTGTGGTAGGCAGAATAATGGCCCCCCAAAGATGTCCATGTCCTAATCCCTGGATATTTGAGTGTGGAGTTCAAGAGAAAGGTTGAGGTTGGGAGGAATCAGTTTATGTATGGCATCTAAGGCTACATGACATGATTAAATCACAATTTATGTCTCACAGTTGTGTAGATCAGAAGTCTGGATGGGCTCAGCTGGGTTCTCTGCTCCAGGTTTCTTGGAAATCAAGTTGTTGGCTGGGCTCTTATTAAGAGGCTCTGGTGGGGGCCGGCCCCGTGGCCGAGTGGTTAAGTTTGCATGCTCTGCTTCAGTGGCCCAGGGTTTCGCCACTTTGGATCCTGGGTGCAGACATGGCACCACTCATCAGGCCATGTTGAGGCGGCAGCCCAAATGCCACAACTAGAAGGACCCACAACTAAAAGTATACAACTATCTACTGGGGGGGATTTGGGGAGAAAAGAAAAAGATTGGCAAGTTGAAGAGGCTCTGGGAAGACTCCATTTCCAAGTTCAATCAGGTCGTTGGCAGAATCCAGTTCCTTACGGTTGTAGGTCTGAGGTCCCTGTCTCCTGGCTTGCTGCAAGCTGGGGGACTTGTCTTTACTCCTAGATGTCACTCTGGTCCTTGCACTTGGGCCTTTCCATCTCAAAGCCAGCAACGTGTGTCAAGTCCTTCTCACACTGCAATCTTGCTGACTTCCCCTTCCTCTGTATCTCTTTCTTGCTTCCAACTGCAGAAAACTGCCCAGGAAGTAAAAACATAGGCATGAGTTAGACGTCAAAAGTGGGTGCATGGGTTACCTGGAGAGCAAAAATGGTGTCCTTGCTCACAGCTGTATTCTGGAACCTATTTGTCAAATGGAGGAAATCCAGAGAGCATCTTTATTAAGAAGTGCTGGAAGACATTCTCAACAATTTCTTAATACTTCTAGGCAATTGTGGGGAAGAAATCCAGAAATAGGGAAGTAAATCCAGTTCTTGCGTTCCAGTGGAATTCCCTGCCTTAAGGTACCTCAGATGGAATTATTTAAGTTGAGAAGAGAGCATTTCATGCACATCTCAATGTCTTGCAACTCTGACCTAGCCTAAAAATGCGTTCTTCTAATGTCACCACTGGCCTACTAAAAAAAAGTTATTAAAAAGTTCTACATTTTTTTCTCTAAATCATTGGGTTAACAGAGTTTTTATTGTCATCCTATGTACCTAACAGATCTTCCTCTGAAAAATTCCATTCTCATATTAAGGAATGTCATCTTCATCCAGTACCTCTTTCTATCTGGAGTGAACTTTGACTCATTCATTCATTTACTGAGGCCCTATATATTATTTTCATCTAATTGTTTATATTTTATTGCCACTTATATCCAAAACTAATCTGAGACCATTTGTAATGAACACTCACATGAAATAGGATAGTTAAAATTGAGTACCACTAAATATAAGGAAATCAGCATAGTTGGGGTAGTAATCTGCTTTGATTCAACCATTCCTACACTTAAACACCTATAGCCTTCCTTTAGGCAAAAACCTGCTCAAACTTGCATAACTAACAACTATTTTCAATATTTACTTTTAGGTGCTTATCAAAATACTAGGTAAACCACGTATCACAATTATTTACATTTATTTGTTTTATACTGATGTAAGGGAAAGGAAACTCCATAGCTTTACTTTGGATTTATATGGGCAACCAAGTAATAATTAGAATTGCATTTAGGTAGAGGATATGGAAAATTCAACTATTTCTAAGCCATGTCATGGTTTAAAGCAAATACAAATACCATCTTCTGTGAGTGATGATGATAATAGCTTTGAGCACTTGCAAAAGATCATGCCTAACTCCCAAGGTTTCAGGATTTGTCATTCATTTCTTTCTTTAACATGGAAACTCTTAATGCAGAAGATACCTCTCAGGGTTGCTTCCAACCTCATCATGATTGCCCCTTTTCTGGAAAGAGACCTGAGTACACAGGGTTGGGTCTGTTTAGTTTGTGTTATCATCACCCTCTTGCCCTCATCATCCACATCACAACCAGTAGCTGACGGAGCCAGGAGATTCTTTATTTAAAACAGATTTATTGAGATGTACTTCACATACTACATAATTCACCCATTTAAAATGTACAACTGAATGTTTTTTAGTATATTTACAGGGTTTTGCAACCACTCCCACAACCTAATTTTAAAATATTTTTGTCTCCTCTATAGGAAACCGTGTACCCATTAGCCGTTACTTCTCACTCTCCTCCCTCATCCTCCAGTTCTAGGTAATCACTAATTTATTTCCTGTCTATATAGGTTTGCTTATTTTGTACATTTCATATAAATAAGATTACATAATATGTGTTTTTTTGTGACTCGCTTCTTTCACTGACCATAATGTTTTCAAGGTTCATCCCTGTTATAGCACACATCAGTACTTCATTCCTTTTTATTGCCAAATAATATTCCATTGTATAGACACTGCTATGAACCTTGTTGTACAAATTTCTGTGTAGGCATATGTTTCATTTCTTTTTTCCTTTTTTAAAAATATTTTATTTTTCCTTTTCCTCCCCAAAGCCCCCCAGTACATAGTTGTATATTTTTAGTTGTGGGTCCTTCTAGTTGTGGCATGTGGGATGCCGCCTCAGCATGGCTTGATGAGCAGTGCCATGTCTGTGCCCAGGATCCAAAGCAGCTAAACCCTGGGCTGCCAAAGTGGACCGCCTGAACTCAACCGCTTGGCCACGGGGCTGGCCCCTATATTTTCATTCTTTTGGGCATATACCTAAGAGTGGAATTGTTGGGTCATTTGATAACTCTATGTTTAACATTTTGAGGAACGGCCAAACTGTTTTCCAAAGCAGCTGCACCATTTTACATTCCCACTAGCAGTGTATAAGAGTTCGATTTCTCCACATCCTTGTCAACACTTGTTATTGTTTGTCTCTTTGATTATAGCCATGCTAGCAGGTATGAAGTAATATCTCATTGTGGTTTTGCTTTCCATTTCTCAAATGACTAATAAGGTTGACCATCTTTTCATATGCTTATTGGCCATTTGTGTATCTTCTTAGGAGAAATGTCTTCAAATCCTTTGCCCATTTTTACATTAGGTTGTCTTTTTATTTGTTGAGTTGTAGGAGTTCTTTATATACTTTGGAGATAAGCTCCTTAACAGATATATGATTTGCAAATAATTTCTCCCCTTCTGTGGTTTGTCTTACTTTTTTGATGATATTACTTGCAACAAAAATGTTTTTATTTTGATGTAGTCCAATTTATTTATTTTTTGTTTTGTCACTTGTGCTTTTGGCGTCATAAATAAGAAGCCATTACCTAATCCCAAATCAAAAAGGTTTACTCCTATGTTTTCTTCTGAGTTTTATAGTTTTATCTGTTAATTTAGGTCTATGATACATTTTGAATGAATTTTTGTGTATGTTGAGTGGTCGAACTCCATTTTTCTTGCATTGGATATCCAGGTATGCCAGTACTATTTGTTGAAAAGACTACTCCTTCCCCATTGGATTATCTTGACATCCTGCTTGAAAATCAATTGGACATAAATGTAAGGGTTTATTTTTGAACTCTTGATTTTACTCCATTGATCTGAACATCTAAGCAGTACCATGCTGTCTTGATGACAGTAGCTTTGTAGTAAGTTTTGAAATCAGGAAGTGTGAGTTTTTCCAACTTTGTTGTTTTTCAAGATGGATTTGGCAATTCTGGGTACCTTACATTTCCAAATGAATTTTAGAATTGTCTTATTTTATCCAAAAAAGCCAGCTAGCTGTGGTTTTGATAGGGGTTGCGTTGAATGTGTAGATCAATTTGGGAGTATTACCATGTTAACAATACAAAATATTCTGATACATGAATGCTTTCCCTTTAGATCTTCTTTAACTTCTTTCAATAATGTTTTGTAGTTTTCAGTGTACAAGTCTTATACCTCTT